TGCAAGACTCTTCGGCAAATCGAATCGAGTTCTCTCAGTCACTGTGTGTTTATCTAACAGTAAATACGATTAAATTGACCTTCATCCCTGCCATTCAGTCGATTTTAGATGCTAGCTAGAGGCCACTGGACGTCTAGCCACACTGATGAGTTCTGATGCGTTGAAACAGTCTGCCTGTGCATGACAATATATATATATATATATATATATATATATATATATATATATATATATATATATAATTTAAAGAAAAACAGACAACTTTAAGGTTCCATGGTTATATTTTATTTCCCCAGGGGGAGTTTCTTTTTCCCCGGATCATCAGATCTCACTTTCAAGGAAGAAAAAAATGAATTTAAACTTACACTTCTGAAGGGTATTATTAAGCTAACCTTGAAAGTGAGGTCTGATGATCCAGGAAAAGAGAAACTCTCTGGGGAAATAAATTATAACCATGGAACCTTAAAGCTGTCTTGTTCTCTTTAAATTAAATTATCCGCTTTGATTTAACATTGAGCTCTCCATATTTCATCCTCCTTGGGATTATCCATACGGATTACCAAGATTTTCATTACTTAAATTTTTATATATATATATATATATATATATATATATGTGTGTGTGTGTGTGTGTGTGTGTGTGTGTGTGTGTGTGTGTGTGTGTGTGTGTGTGCGCGCGTTCGCGCGCGCGCGCGTGTGTGCAGAATAATTACTGAGAAAAATATATATACTTTCTAGAAGTTGTTTTAATCTTTTTCATCTCCGATTAATTGTTTTGGCATTTTTATTCTAAAAATACTTTATTGCACTCTTAAAGAAACTGATGCTTTCGTTTTGTGAAAGAAAGATTATTCTTCTGCAGTTGACATTTAATAAAAGTCTCTTTTCTAAAGCGTCAAATAATTTGAACTGATCGTTTAGCAATAACAAGTTGTAATGAAGCCCAGCTGGACGGCTATAAACAGAAATTCGTCGCGCAAATATTCCACAAAATAGCCGGAAAATCGACATCTAAACTGAAAGAATGTGGCTCAATTTCGAAAAACACGCGACTGAGTTCATTCTTATTAGTTATGGCGAAAGTGACAATGGAAGACGAGACTAGAAATCTGCATATTTTTTAAAGCCAAAACGATTATTATTATTCCACACCAACAACCGAAAGACCGATTTGAAGGTATTTACTTTAAAACCATTTTAGTAGAAAATATTTTGTTTGTGTTGCTTTATATATTTTTCGATCGATAGTTGCGTTGAAGGATTAAAGAGGCTGAATACATACGAAAGGATCAAAGGGAAATGAGTTTCGAATTCGTATTTACTTCTAAATCATTGTCTGGCACAAGACCATATTAGTTATTTAATCATTTCCTTAAAGCAATCACCATTATAAATAAACCCAGTCTCCTGGAGAAATCTTTTTTTTACAAAATGGTCTTCCATATTTCAGCAGATAATAACAGTAACTGTTGGTTCAATAAATATAAAATGTTTCCGGTGTGGAAACGGTCAATTTAACATTACAACCGGATATTTATTTTAGTTTAGATTGCACAATTTAGCTACGTACAAACTCTTGTTCGGTTATTTAATGTCGAACAAAAATCACAATGAATTACAGAAATCAAAATGAATTAAAAATTACAATGAATTACAAAGATCAAAATGAATTAATACAAACATAAACAAAGCCCGGTTTACACAAACATAAATAAAAAATTACACATGAGTAAAAATCATTTCTTTTCATATTTCACGAAAAGCAAGGAGATTATATCACTAAGACGCAAGTGTTTTCTGTGAGTGAAATCCGGGCGAGAAAAAGGTACAATAAAAAAAAACAGTATTAAGGAAGAACATGGCGATTGGCGTTCGAAGATTGTTGGTGGCAAACAAATAGAAAAAACTCAACAAAAACAATTGCCATAAAAATACATGTAAAGAATGAAGTCAAGTCACGTCGGTGAGAAAGTGACTGAAGGCGAGATGCCAGGTTAGGACTAATTATATTACACATCCTTCTATGAATTTTGTCAAGACTCACGAAATACATAGTAGGAGCAGCGGACCGGATATAACAGCAACATCCAATGAACGGAAGAAGGGCAGATTTTTAAACGTGCAAGATGGATTTTGACGAGAAAAATTGTCATACACGACACAGTGAACCAACTTTCCTAGAACTAGAAAAAGTGATTGGTTGAATATAATTACTCCACTTCATGTCAGATGAAAACCTGAGATGGAGAAGATGCAAAGTTTTGCTCTCCTAAGAGTTAGCATCAGCCATGCTTATGGAAAGCAGAAAAGGTTCTCTATAGTGATTAAAGTAAAGCAATTTGTTTTGAAAGCGTTAAAATTTAAAAGTCATTCCTTGCCCCAGTTAACCATTAATTGGAGGTCCTTTTTGAGAGCAATTGCCAATTTCAAACCGGTCGAGCCTTCTACTAAGACACGTTTGATAGTCGTGCCATAATTACCAAATTAGGACATGAACATCGAGAACACCCTGATTAATGTGAAATGATCTAGAAGCGTGGCCGTTCAAGGCGTCCTTCATTACACGATTTGTTAAGAACGATTGGATAAAACCAAATATTCATCCAGAGACAATGTAGCCCTTGAGCTCGCGGAGAAGGCCAGCATGCTAAACCTTGTAGAACACCTTCATAATATGTAATGCCACAAACCGAGCAAAGTCGTTTTTGTATAAAGCCTGATGGACAAATTCAATAATAATAGTTAAAACATCGGCGGCAGCCCTGGAGTTATTGGCCTGGTTTACAAGACAAGAAAAGGTAAGATGAGGTTTTACGCAAGAGTTTACACGAGAGACGAAACGGTCAATATAGGTCCGGTTTACAGTAGAGTCAAAAAGTTAGACATATATTCGATGGGCAAAAGAGTTAAAACAAACAGAATTTGAGCTGAACAAAAATATTCTAATAATAATCATAAGTACGAATGTAAGTAATCATTTGAAAGAATATTTAGAGATTCTTGATAAAAATCCAAAGAAAAATCTGCAATGTTATTGATCCAAACCTGGCATCTCGGCTTCAGTCCCTTTCCCACCGCCGTAACGTAACTTTTCTGTGACATTTCTATAAACATTTTCATGGTAATTGTTCTTGTAAACTTTCCTCGGTGGTACAGAGATTTTATGAATTTAAGCGCAGTACTAGATTGACGGCAAGGTCTCATCAATTTACATTTGAAATGGCCAGATGTAACCGTAAGTTCTATGATAACATTTCCATCGATTGCACTTCTTGCTCATGTAACTCTCTTTCGGTTTCTTACTTCTCAATTAATTTCGATCTTCAAAAACGTAAATGAAATTTTAATCGTTATCTTCTATCTTCTTAATTCTTGTTATTTTATTGTCTTCACACCTCAAATTTATTTTATTTTTTATATCCCCTAATATTCAGTAAGCCATTGCATCCTAGTGGCATTATTGCCTTACTCGGGGTGAAATTATAAAAAAAATGTTCATTATTTATTAGGTATTGGCAGGGTGGTGCTAACTAAGAAACTAAACAGGGGACAAGCAGGATTATAAAAAACATAATTGTACACGTGTTTTATTTCGAGGGCCAAAATGCACACTTATTGGAAGAGAAAGGTATGTCATAATATTTGCTCATTTGAAAGATTTTCACAAAGCTTACTTTACCAGAAATAAAAATATTAATGGAAAGACTACTTAATTCTAAATAGTATGAAAATTGATGGGAGTTAAATGCGAAAGACAGGTATACGTAAGAGATCTTCTGGGAATATAGACAGACATTTTGGTACCGACAGAAGGTGTCTGAGATTCTTTGAATATGATGACTGTTCACAAATTCATCGAGTTTGTTTCCCCTTAGATGGATTAAAAAATATTCCCGTGGGTTCGACTAACTAGATATATGCTGAGACAGATACGCCTCTCAATTTAAATGGCATGTTTATTCAGATAGATAGAAATGAACAGACTGGGATAGATAGATAGATAGATAGATAGATAGATAGATAGATAGATAGATAGATAGATAGATCAAATAAAGTTTAAAGACTTTATTAGAGAGAGGCTTCATTATTGAAAGAGGCCATGTGATAAACATCGAGGAAAATAAAGAAAAAATGAAAGAAGACAGTAAACAAGAAAAATGAAGAAACTAAAAAAAGAAAGAAAGAAAGAAAGAAAGAAAGAAAGAAAGGCAAAAAAAGAAGAAAAGAAAAGCAAAAAAGAAAGAAATAGATTAGAGAACGCAAAGAAATAAAAAGGGGAAGAAAGAAAGAAAGAAAGAAAGAAAGAAAGAAAAGAAAGAAAGAAAGGCAAAAAAAAAAAGAAGAAAAGAAAAGCAAAAAAAAAAGAAATAGATTAGAGAACGCAAAAGAAATAAAAAGGGGAAAAAAAGAAAGAAAAGAAAGAAAGAAAGAAAGAAAGAAAGGCAAAAAAAAAGAAGAAAAGAAAAGCAAAAAAGAAAGAAATAGATTAGAGAACGCAAAGAAATAAAAAGGGGGAGAAAGAAAGAAAGAAAGAAAGAAAGAAAGAAAGAAAGAAAGAAAGAAAGAAAGAAAGGCAAAAAAAAGAAGAAAAGAAAAGCAAAAAAGAAAGAAATAGATTAGAGAACGCAAAGAAATAAAAAGGGGAGAAAGAAAGAAAGAAAAAAGAAAGAAAGAAAGAAAAGAAAGAAAGAAAGAAAGGCAAAAAAAGAAGAAACGAAAAGCAAAAAAAAAAAAGAAATAGATTAGAGAACGCAAAGAAATAAAAAGGGAAAGAAAGAAAGAAAGAAAGAAAGAAAGAAAGAAAGAAAGAAAGAAAGAAAGAAAGAAAGAAAGGCAAAAAAAAGAAGAAAAGAAAAGCAAAAAAAAGAAAGAAAATAGATTAGAGAACGCAAAAGAAATAAAAAGGGGAGAAAGAAAGAAAGAAAGAAAGAAAGAAAGAAAGAAAGAAAGAAAGAAAGGCAAAAAAAAGAAGAAAAGAAAAGCAAAAAAGAAAGAAATAGATTAGAGAACGCAAAGAAATAAAAAGGGGGAGAAAGAAAGAAAGAAAGAAAGAAAGAAAGAAAGAAAGAAAGAAAGGCAAAAAAAAGAAGAAAAGAAAAGCAAAAAAGAAAGAAATAGATTAGAGAACGCAAAGAAATAAAAAAGGGGAGAAAAAGAAAGAAAAGAAAGAAAGAAAAAAGAAAAAAAGAAAGAAAGAAAAAGGCAAAAAAAAGAAGAAAAGAAAAGCAAAAAAAGAAAGAAATAGATTAGAGAACGCAAAAGAAATAAAAAAGGGGGAGAAAGAAAGAAAAAGAAAAGAAAGAAAGAAAGAAAGAAAGAAAGAAAGAAAGAAAAGAAAGAAAGAAAGGCAAAAAAAAAAGAAGAAAAGAAAAGCAAAAAAAGAAGAAATAGATTAGAGAACGCAAAAGAAATAAAAAAGGGAGAAAAGAAAGAAAGAAAGAAAGAAAGAAAAAAGAAAGAAAAGAAAGAAAAAAAAAAAGAAAGAAAAGAAAAGCAAAAAAAGAAGAAATAGAAAACGCAAAAAAAAGAAATAGGGGAGAGAAAAAAGAAAGAAATAAAAAAGAAAGAAAGAAAGAAAGAAAGAAAGAAAGAAAGAAAGAAAGGCAAAAAAAGAAAGAAAGAAAAGAAAAAAAAGGAAAATAGATTAAGAGAAAAGAAATAAAAAAAAGAAAAAAAAGAAAGAAAAAAAAGAAAGAAAGAAAGAAAGAAAGAAAGAAAGAAAGAAAGGAAAGAAAGAAAGAAAGGAAAATGTGTTAAGAGAAAAAGAAGAAAAGAAAAGTAAAACTGGTAAAGAAAGAAAGAAAAAAGAAAGAAAGAAAGAAAGAAAGAAAGAAAAGGAAAATGTGTTAAGAGAAAAAGAAGAAAAGAAAAGTAAAACTGGTAAAGAAAGAAAGAAAGAAAGAAAGAAAGAAAAAAGAAAGAAAGTAGGCGATTGTATTTAAAAAGGATTATTCTCAAATGCAAAATGTCGGCGAAATCAGATAAAATTCGATGCACGCAAAACTGAAAATGTTTCTTTTTTTTCTTCTTCTTCTGAAACGCATTTCGTTTGTCTTTCTTATGACAATGTCAGGAATTGTGCTTTTTCTGCCTGAACCGCGTCTCCTTAGAAAATATGAAACAAAAGATAAATAATTGTGCGTGTTTGTATGTCTGAGAGGGGGAGGGGGGCATTGCGTGTGTGTGTGTGTGTGTGTGTGTGTGTGTGTGTGTGTGTGTGTGTGTGTGTGTGTGTGTGTGTGTGTGTGTGTGTGCCTGTTTCAAAGCGTATACTTTTATGTACAAATGTAAGCACACAAGCGCTTATAAAACGCCTATAAACTAACATATATATATATATATATATATATATATATATATATATATATATATATATATATATATATATATATGATGTTTTAAATTATGATTGTACTTGTTTAGAATCATATTTTAAGTCACACACATATGTGTATGCAATTATTATTATCTTAGAGGGAAATGTTTCTTTGTCATGTCAGCTTTGAAATTTATCACTGAACCGCAAATGCTCTTAAAATCTGCCTCCTAATAACCGCGAATAGAGATTGAAACCAACACCCACATATATTATTCCTCTTTTTCTGCCTCTTCTTCTGCATGTTCTTTTATGTACTAAACACAACTAGGTTTTGCAAATGAACATGGAACACCCAATCAGGCTAAACGTTACTATTAATAATCAAGAAAACCGCGTTTCTGACTATTAACACGCGAAAACGAGTACCTGTTAGACATTTATTTTCACTTAAACTAATAAAAAGAAACTATATACAAGAGAGTTGTTTTATTGAAGTTCACAGATACAAAGTTCGAGCGTCACTCAAGATAGACGGTTACTGAAGTGGAACATGGATGTAAGAAGAGCTGGTAGGAAGTAAAGAATATGAGGATAAGAAGGATGATAACGACTGAACTACTACTTGAATGGGTTAAGGAAGCTCGATTTCAGTCACTGTCTCACCGAGGTGGCGTGGCTTCCCTCTGTCTTTTCTACAAATATTTTTACAACTGCACTGATGAGCTTTTTGACTGGTGCTTCGACTACATGACTTTAAGCGTGTTTTTAGATAGGCCACACAATTATTGTTGAAATAGCTAAATGCAACGTCCACTTCTACTCCAACAGTTTCTTATCTCGAACCTTACACCTGATAAACTCCCTTCCTGTTATGATAACTTTCCTTGATAAATAAATCTTTAAAAATGTAAATGCAACGTCAATCACCATCTTCTGTCTTCTTGAATTCCGTTCATATATGTCCTTTCTTCAATCCTCCTTTTCCCTCTCACTTTCACTTCCGTGTAAATCCCTGGGGTACTAGTGGCATTCCAGTCTTTCCTGAAGTGAAATGATTAAAAATATAGAGCTATACAAGATTACTAAAATTTACCAACCATTATTCCCCCCACCCCCGTGAGGTTTTAAAAGGAACTTAGAGGTAAAATTCTAATAGGTCAGCCATATTTTGGGAAGCGTGTCTTGGCAAGTGTTTTTAAGCATGCCTCTCCTAACTTGCGGCAACGATTATTATATTAACGAGGCTATGTCGAAGAGAGAGTCTTGTCTCGCAAAACAGCTTCCCGACTCCGTTTTACACGGGAAATTTTTGGCCGAGCCTACAGGCTTGGATACGCTACATTAAATTCAGCCTTGTGCCACCTCTGACCGCGTGGGAGGTTGGTAGATATTCTTACTTCCGGAATTAGTCTACAGGATGTAGTTTATTGTCATACCCAAGACGTTTAAAAGAAAAGTTAAATTTTAAAAGATTAAGAGACTTAAGAGGTGCTTCTACTTGCTAAACAAACACTGATCAAACTGGGACCAACAAAATCCACCTATGGTGAGTCGATATTTACAAATCACTCTAATGATTTGAAACATTTGCACGGTATTATCACGGATCAAACTGATGATTTATGTGAAACAGGATCAAAACACTTTCAAGAGCCTGTTATAGATGGCATAAGAAAACCATTTCATGTTAATACAGAAGAAAATACCAACCTTAAGTACCTCGGCGTAAACATATTTCATGCAACAAAGGACGTCGTAATCAAACAAGATAAAAACGCGAGAAGGGTAAAACTGATAAAGTATCCCCTTCTGAGATAAGAGAAATCTGTCCGAAAATAGAAGCATAAATCAAACTGGTTCGCAACACAGAAAAGGGCTGATTTTATTAGTGATCTGAGATCTTGCTGAAAGAATGCAACTGTCGAATGTTTCCGACAAAACCACGGGATCTTAAAAAAGGCGGGAAGAGTAAGTAAAAAAGTAAATTTATAACCAGTCGTTTTCATGTACACAAAATATACCAGCCGATGGTTACTTACCCTTGCACAAAGGGAGTTCACTGGTGCCTTATTATTTTAACCGTTTACCAGAATAAACTGTGTAAATACGATAAAATGATTTGAATTTGAGACTGAATAAAAATGTGAAACCGACTTGTAAATCTACATAACGCTCATATATATTTTTGTCGTGCAAAAGTTTTAGAGTTATTGGCTATAAGTTTATCCTAAGTTAAAGAAATTTGTTAAGGATTATTTCATGGCTGAAATGGAAATCATTAAATCTTCTTCGAGATTGTGATCAAGGTTCTAGCCCAGTAAACAAAAACGAATTCGAATGCTCCTTTTTAGGCCAGCATGTCTTTTCCTCGTTGGAGATAGCCACTAAAAAATGTTTAAGCTAAGCTACACTCAGTGAAGGTCGAACTCACTACAGTAAAAAAAATAAATCTATGTTCGTAAACATTCTAAAGGTGGAACATACACATACATACACACACACACATATCTACCTTGACAGTAGCATTCACTGAGGATATGTAACAAAATTAAAAAATTAAATAGAATAACATGTGTCATCAATATTTATTCAAATATAAAGGGCTATTATCTATTTTTACTCATTCTGGAAACGAATAACTACTTAAAAACTCAGATAGATAGATAGATAGATAGATAGATAGATAGATAGATAGATAGATAGAACAGACAGGGATAGATAGATAGATAGATAGATAGATAGATAGATAGATAGATAGATAGATAGATATCAACAGACTGTGACAGAAAAAGGCATGAAGAGGATGTGATAGAGAGAGGCGGAGGTAAACAAACTGTGATATGGTGAAGTAGGAAAAGAGTTGTGCTTAATTAACAGAGCTAGATAATTAAGATAGATAGATAGATAGATAGATAGATAGATAGATAGATAGATAGATAGATATGGACAAACTGAGATAGATAGATATGAACAGACCGGGATAGATAGATAGATAGATAGATAGATAGATAGATAGATAGATAGATAGATAGATAGATAGAAACAAAGAGAGAGTGAACAATGACTACTCTTCCTTTATATTTATATATATAGTAAATATTAAACAATATGATTACATATGTCTATGTATATTCAAGGGGATCAAAACTAATTGACTAGTTTTATCAGAAATCGTCTGAGCAATACCAGCCTCACGAGAAAGCAAAGAAAAAATGAACAT